AGGAAGAAAACTGCCGGGGCAAACAGCACTTCTAGAGGGCTGATTCACATCAGGAAAAGGATGCAGGGGAAGGGAGAGCTCCCCCTTGCCCAGGACAACGTCCCAAGCCAAACCACCCTCTGCAGCTGCTATTTATAGAGGTTTAAAGAGATGGGAGACGTCACAAATTTAGGATTTGAGTTCTAGTTTAAGGAGTACCTGGGACTGTGGGCAGTGCCCGAGTAAGGGTATACTGAACAGGGGCCAAAAAGTCTATGGAGATTTGGCCAGGGCTCCATGCCCATTACCGTGATATAGAGGGAACACTGGTCACCATAACTCAGCTCTGAAACCTCGACAAATACTAGCCACAGGGGGGCCATTTGAATAAGGACTGTAGTGCTGGACAAGGATGTGCTTGAGTGTTTTACCCCTGAAAAAACCCCTGCCCTGTCGCTACTGTGAATAGGCCCTCCGGAGGTGCTGCTTGCCCTAGGAAGAAAACTGCCGGGGGCAAACAGCACTTCTAGAGGGCTGATTCACATCAGGAAAAGGATGCAGGGGAAGGGAGAGCTCCCCCTTGCCCAGGACAACGTCCCAAGCCAAACCCACCCTCTGCAGCTGCTATTTATAGAGGTTTAAAGAGATGGGAGACGTCATCACAAATTTAGGATTTGAGATCTAGTTTAAGGAGTACCCGGGACTGTGGGCAGTGCCCGAGTAAGGGTATACTGAACAGGGGCCAAACAGCCTGTGGGGATTTGTCCAGGGCTCCATGCCCATTACCGTGATATGGTTCATTAATGTTCTTTCCGAAATAAGATAGAACTGTTTCTTACATGAGGATTCGGTAAGAAAATCTACTCTCTCTTGGGAAATCCCCGGAGATTTGGGGGTGGAGCCAGGGGGTACCCAGCAGAGAGATGATGTAATAGAGTCTGCCCTCCAAGGCTGGAGATCAGTTGTAATTCCAGGAGATTTCCAGGTCCCACCTGGAGGTTGGCAACCCTAACTTTTGGGCACTTCTACATGGATTATCTTGCTCTGTTGTGGATTCAGAGATACAAGGTGCTTTGAGGCACATGACACGTTGTTTATTCTCTCAAGGAATCGGGTAATAAAATGCACCAGGAGGGCAGAGATGCGTTTCAGCCTGGAGATGGCCATTTGTTCAACCGCCAGGGAGACAGGATGGATAGATGTTGTAAAACATGATCTGGGGTAATAGATGCGAGTTCTGTGACATGAAACCTGACTGGGGAGAGTTTGGGGGTATCTCCTAGGAGGGGCAAGTTCCCTGCATCTGGATTGCTGAAGGTTCCTGCCAAAGCAAAGGTTTTAATATTGGCCCTCCTTTCCACTAACCTTTGTTTGGTTTTGGAGTTCTTTGTTAGGTTTAGTTTCTTTCCCTTTTTTGTTCTTGCTGCTTTGAGGCACATGACATGTTGCTTATTCTCTCAAGGAATCGGGTAATAAAATGCACCAGGAGGGCAGAGATGCGTTTCAGCCTGGAGATGGCCATTTGTTCAACCGCCAGGGAGACAGGATGGATAGATGTTGTAAAACATGATCTGGGGTAATAGATGCGAGTTCTGTGACATGAAACCTGACTGGGGAGAGTTTGGGGGTATCTCCTAGGAGGGGCAAGTTCCCTGCATCTGGATTGCTGAAGGTTCCTGCCAAAGCAGGCAGGAAGGTTTAAAAGAAGAAGAAGAGATTGGATTTATACCCCCCTCTTCACTTCCCAAAGGTGTCTCAGAGCGGCTTACAAACTTCTTTCCCTTCCCCTCCCCACAACAGATACCCTGTGAGGCAGGTGGGGCTGAGAGAGCTCTGACAGAAACTGCTTTTTT